TGGAGGTGTCTCCTGGGTGGCAGTTGCATCAGGGCTCTATATGAGTATATAATCTCCTTTTTGGGAGATACTGGTGAGTTGTAGTGAGGTAGAGGGAGAGCACAAGATGGTGTCCCCTAGTCTATGTTTTCTGAGAACCACGTCTGTAGCCTCTCGATGTGTGCAGGCAGAAGCTCCAAGACAAACAAGTAGACCTCTTACACAGAAAAGCTGTAGTATGTTTCAGTCTGCTTTCTTTGCAGTGCCTTGGAGGAGGTAGCTTGCCAAGAACTGTGTCTATGATTGTTACATTCCCTTAGGACCCAGGAACACAGGCCCCCTGGGCACAAAAGCCAGGCAATCAAGGGTTGTAGCCATACAAATCAGAGCACCCTTGGGTTGTAGCCATACAAATCAGGGCACCAGATATAAACACTGGGGCACTAGACACATAAAAGAACTCCCTTATGAAGGATGGGGGTGCTCTGGAGAGTGGCAGAGGGACAGTGCCAAGATAGCATCTGCCCTGCAATGTCTCAGGAAAGGTTTATAGTCAGCCCTTAGATGTGTGTTTAACTAGAAGCCTGCCCCACAGGCTGCAGCTATGATGATAAACTAATAGGCATCTTTCACATTAAGACTGAGCTACTGGTTCTGTTGCCTCTTGCTGAACCCTCAGGGTGATATATGTTTGAGAACTCTTTCTCTGTTGGTTACAGTCCTATGGGACCCATGAGCATAAACCCCACTGGCCACCAGAGCACTCGATTTAGCGATGTCCCTGTCAACAGCCACAAAAATTAGGGCACCAGACAAGGGTATAAGATCTTTTCTGAAAGATATTGGTGAGTTGGGGTAAGACAGAGGAAGAGTGCAAAAAATTGCTTTCAGTTGCCTCCATTCCATAAGACTACCTCCATAGGCCCCATAAGTGTGCAAACAGAAGCCTACCTTCGGTCCAAGGCTTATGAGCAAGCAAATATGTCTCTTTCTCAGAAAGATAGGGTATGTGTTTCCATCTGCTATTTGTGCAGTGCCCTGGGAGTGGTAGCCAAGAATTGTCTCTCCAATTCTTAGTTTCATGAGACCCAGGAGCGTAAACCTCCCTGTTCTCCAGAGCTTCAAGTGTCCCCTCTGTGGCAGCTGCAAAAACTGGGTCACCAGGCACAAAACCGGGGGCGCTGGGCATGTATAGAATCTCCTCTCTGGGAGATATGGGTGCTCTGGAGTGTAGAACAGGAAGAGTGTGAAGATGATGCCCATTGGCTGGAGCAAAGCAGAGGGGAGATGTAAAGAGGGCACTCACTAAAAAAGGAAAAAAAAAAAAAAAAAAGAAAAGGAAAAGAGGAAAAATAAGAAGGACAAAAAAGTAAAGACATGACGTCTACAGGCTTTAGGAGGGCAGAGGAAAAGTAGAAAAATGGTAATCACCAGCCTCTGTCCCCAGATAGTATTTCAGCAGGCCTCTGCCCCTCAGTCCAATGCTGTAAAATTAGCAAACAAGTCTTTTTTCACATAAAGTTGGGGTACATTTCAAGGGGCTGCTTCTGCTCTGGGCCCTAGGGTGACTGAGTCTGCATGTCAGCCCTTTAAAAACCTTTTCTCAGTTCACTGAAGTCCCATGGGTCTTGTGGTGTGATCCCCATTGTTCTTCAAAGCCAGGTGCCAGTTTTAAAGATGGGGTGCCTGATGTGGGGTAAAAACCTTGCACTCAGGGAGATGCTCTGGGTTTTGAGTTTCTTCCTGATTGTGGATTGCTGTGTCAGGGGTGGGGTTTACAGTGATTGTGTCTCCACCTTTTCTACCTGCTTCAGTGTGGTTTCTGTCTCATTTACCTGTTTGAAGAGGTATCTGCCAGTTTTTAGGGATTTTTTTCAAAGGAAATTGTTTCATATATAGCTCTAGATTTCGTGTGTCTGTGGGAAGAGTTCAGGCTCTTCCTACATTGCCATCTTTAATCAAAACCTGAATAGAAAGAAATTTGATGAGAAAACACTCTATGGGTGTTTACAATGCTTATTTTTATGGCAAATTTCGGGCTAAGAGATCTTGTTTGCATCTTCTCATTCTTGCCTGCCCTGTGATATTTAATAAGGTAGTCAAATAGGACAGACTTTGCATTTGTTTCTCAATCAGAGACCATTTTACTATTCAATTTTAACAGCTTTAGAACATACCTAGGTTTGTTTGGGGTTCAGGTTTATTCATTGGGCTTTTTTTCTTTAGGTTTGAATTTGGTTTACAATGAATTAAAACTATTAATACAGGATTACTTCAATGTTCAACAAGTTATTTGGGGATTCTTGGTTATTTTAAATTATCTCTCAAAGCTTTGAACAGGTAAAATTCAAGAATATTAAAATCTTTTCAATGAATTGTGCTTCTTTTCCCAACTTATCTTAAACTGAGAGATCATTTGTTTTGAGAAATAATCAATATAATAAAATTACAATGGATTGAACTAATGTAGAAAATCTCAAGAGGTCTCTTTCAATAATTAAGCATACTGGTCCATTAGAATCAAAAATCCTCAAATCAAGTCACATCAAGTATCTTTGAGTAAAATTTAAATCTCACCTTAACCATTATCTTATTTTTATCTCCTGTACTTCAGCTTCGTCTGAAAGGAAAAATTATTGCTTTTATTCTTTAGCATCTTTAAGTATCTATGTGGGCAGATGGGTATAAAGTGAGTTTAATAAGGATCTAACACAAAGTTACACTACAGATTTTGTATGTCCTCTCCTTGACAATTATTTGTTGTAAATGAAAAAATCTACTTGAATGAATGAATTATTATAGTTTGAGTATTTTGAGCTAGTTAGTATCAATAAATGGAGGATATAAGTCCTGATAATGAAAGTTCAAACAAAATCTCCACATTATGCAAACTCTGACCTTTAATAAAAACATCTTGTGATGATATATCATTACTGGATTTTCTTTCTTTTTTGGCCATGGACATATTACCTGGAAGTATTGGTTTTCATGTTCCTTATTTTGAGACATTACAAATGTGTTTACCCTAAAGTTTCTATTTGGAGTTGTATAAGGTTCACAAAGATAAATGTGAAGAAGAAATATTTAAGAAGTAGGGCTAATATTTCTTAGGGAAGAGAAAGTGCTTAGAATTACACAGATGGATTGGCAAAATAGTTTGTATTAATTATAAATAAAATTGTTTAGAATTTTAGATCTGGTATTATTTTGATTTGAACATGGTGAGAAGGGGTCAAGGAATGGGCAAGGCACAGAAATGATCATATAACATAATAAATAGTTAATATAATGGTCATTAAAATTATGTTAAGAGAAATTTATTTACTATGCTACAAAACAGGAAAATGAGCAAACTTTGAGTATATTTAAACTGATGAATAGGATTGCTTCCCATTTAAGGCTCTGAAAATTCTTCTCGTCATTTGAGGCCCAACTCAAATTCCCTTGTGTCTTCTATGTGGCCTCAGTCTCTCAGTTAGTATCAACGAGATTTTCCTGTTTCGCCACGTTACTTTAATTTCTTTTTTGCACTCTCTTTACTTCTTTGCGTTGTGTTAGAGTTAATGGTAGAGTAGAAAGAGCATAAATATAGTAAAAATGCAATTCAAACTTTCTGAGCCCCAGTTTACTTACTGGTAGAATGGGAAGAGAAATTGGAAATCCTGTGGCACCTGTGAGGATTAAATTGGAAAGCATAAAGTAACCTGGCATTGAGCAGGCACTCAAATGTCAGAGTCTTTGCCGTTCCTGAGTTTCATGACTAGTCTCCCTGATAGTACAGAAGTTTGTTTAGAGCAGGAAATGTATTTTGTATTCATAGTGCCTTGTGTATAGTGGGTTCTAAAAGATTACTTATTGAATTTAATTTACTGTCCTGCTGTGGAAGCTTAGCACTGTTATTTCCCATTTCTTTTTCCTCTGCCACCTTGGATTGAGATAAACATGTTGCTTTCATGAAATTAAGGATTTAATTCAGTAGAATGCTATTATAATATGACTTATTCCATAGAGCTTGAAATAGTAAGGGTCAAATAATTTCCTTGGAAACTTAATTATATTCTGTAAAATCCTATTAGCCTGTCTCATAGCATCATAGTCACAGTGGAGTTCTGGTTTGTTTAAGATGGTGAAGGCTCTATCTGTAGAAATCTATTTAATGGAACAGGGAGAATATGGGAAATAAATGACATAAAGAGAGAGCAAATGCGTGTCTTGCAAATGACATTACTTGACATTTTCAATTACTAATCCTCCAAAGTATGTTCTAATTTACTAAAATAAACCAAGAATTCAATTTCTTGTGAGCTCCCTTTGCTTAATTAATTATTAGTAGCAGAACAATATTCTGTGATCCACTGCAATTTGTCTCCTTTGTGTTTATCTAGTATCTGACTTAAAAATGAACAGAAGTGCTCTGATTCAGCAGAACTGATTTTGTAACTCATCTGTGTTATAAAGCAGAAATGAATAAATGTTTGCTGAATATTCTACATATGCTTTGATCATTAAAATGTTAGTTTTCCTACCTTCTCAAAATATAAGATCTGAACGATCTTCCTGGCTGAAGTTTGCTGGGTGCCTATTCTGCATAGATATTTCTTCAGAGGCAAGCAGCTACTTTTACATAAATTTATTTTCATGGTTAGAATATGAGAGCTCTTTTAATACTTCCTCATTATGATTGAAATTATACATTCATTGCACTTTTTAAAAGTAGCAGTGTATGCTAAGGCATGAAGAGGTTTTTTTCTTTTTTTGAATGCAGTATGCTCTTTTGTTGAAATGAGGACTAAATGGGCTTTCATTCATACAATAACATTGGTTGTATTTAGGATACAGTTTCTAATTCTTCATAATCAACTTTTATTATTTAATTGAAAGGCAATTAGCTAGCATTTGTTATCTCTACTATGAATGGAGGAAACTGAGGCTCAGCGTCAACTCTTTCTGTGTTAGCTAGTTAGGAATTTGAGGAAAAATATGCTGCTGTCCTAATGATTTACTTTTGTTTTCAATTTCAGTTTCAAAGGACATTTGACTCTCTTAAAAATGTTTCCAACAAATCTGACCTCCAGAAAACCTACCAGAAGCTTGGGAAGGATCTGGAAAATCTGGATTATTTAGCCTTCAGACGTCAGCAGGTATGGGTCAGAACTCTTCATGGTGGAGAAGAACACTTTAGGCTCCCGCTGCCCTGACTGTCAGGTCCGGGTGGGCCTGGGAACACTTATCTTCTAATCTTTAGGGCAGGAATAAGTTGTACTGTGTTGTGTTGACCTGCTGTGTTCATGACTTCCTGCAGCATTCCATGTGGTCCTTACTTTTAGATATGCTCTTTAGGGGTTTCTACGTGTCCTTATAAATCTCTAAAAGAAAAAATTGTCTGGTTTGTGATGGTACAATTACCGCTTGACTAAGGATGCCTCAATGGCATAAGTGGAACCTCTATGATGGCTTGGCCAGATGGGGGATATTTGAGAAAAATCATCTGAAGAGCAGGAAAGGATGTAGTTATACAGACAAAATTAAAAGAAAGTGTCACAAATATGCCAAAATACGAGTCAACCTTTAGAATCCTTGTTTAATCTCTGAAGATTCAGTAGAAATTTGATAAATGTATAAGGTTGAAGGAAAATATATTTTACAAATGCAAGTCTTTTCGCCTTCTTGTATAGGTACCAAGATAAATTCAGAGCCTAAATAGACTTCTATAGGTTTGCTTTTAGAATTAGTATTTTATAATATTAATAATCATTAAATTCTATGTATTTGTGACATAGTAGCTAAGTAGCTAAGTAGCTAAGAGCTACTTTTCCCAAGCTGGAGCCTCTCCAGTTTCTTCACAGCCACTAGGTGTCAGGGTTGTCATGCTTTTACTTTGATTGAATGTTTATTCTCATCAGAACAGTCAGTTAGATGTTTAAATTAGGTTGAAAATGGAAATTAAATTAGGTTGAAAACAGTCAGTTAGATGTTTAAATTAGGATGAAATTTGGGAAGATGCTTAATGATGGATAGCGTCTAGAAAAATGACTAAGTGGCTGACTTGGATGGCCAGGCACCAAGTTCATTACTTAAGAGTCTTTCCTGTTAGTGTGGCAAAAGGTATCACTCTATTGCCATTGCCAATTTCATAAATTTTGGAATTTTTGAGTGGGGGGTTTCCAAAGTAGGACTTTCTATATTTAGTTACACCTCATGAAGTCAACATAGTCTAGAAATATTGACTTGAAAAGAGAATTGTGTTTTAGTTTTTGCTTTATCACAGACATAACATGGGCATTTAACCTTCCCATGGCCCTATTTTCCTAGGAGTGATATTTGTTTTGTAGAATGTTCTGGGGCACATGCAATATCTTTGCACATACTTTAAGTTATATAAAAAGGGAAACAATATCCATTTAAATTTATTTACCTATTTTTAAGTCACTGATGGCATAGGTATTAGCACATGCGACAGAAGCAGTCACAGTTACTGAAAGCTACTGCCAGTAAGCTCCCAGATGCTGCTGCTTAATATTCATACCGTGAGTCACTGCTCTGGCCCATGCAATTTCTAGTACAGTTTTGTTTCCAAGAGCCATATTTTACCACTGAGGGGGTATTTTGAGTTGGCAGGTAGTAGTCATTGTCCTCTTCTCTTTTTCTTTCTCATTAGCAAATTCTCAGTGATTAGTTTCTTACATTAGCTGATTGTGAATTTGGAAAAATGGGAATGCCTCAAGGACAGAATTCTGGGAGAATGCCATTGAGGGCAGATAGGTAAATTGCATGTGTATGTGAGAAAAAAGATGGGCATGTGGGGTGTATATGTATATATAAATCATGTATGCTATTTATTAAATGACAACTATATGCCACATAGTGTGATTAATACATTTATGGATTAGATAATTAAATGCTTATAACAGTATAATGGGGTTGGTTTTATGAACACCATTTTACAGATGAGGAAATCCATAAGAGCTAAGTCACTGGCCGAAGGTCACTGGCCTAATAAGACATGAAGCTGGGCTTCCGAGGTAAATCAGTCTGACTCCAAACCTGGCCTTTTTTAAACCCTGGTCTCATTCTCCATAGCCCTGCAGGGAGCCAGGCAGGGGAGAGAGTAAAGTGGGGAGTTCTAGGCATGTAGTATGAAAGCAATTTTAGGAGAGGCCAGACCTGAGGCTTAAAGAAACATTTGAAAATGGGCACCTGGTGAGAGGCAAAAGACAGGTCAGTTCTCGCTTGTGCTAGCGCCTTCCCCCCCCTCCCCCAAGCCAGTTGTTCAATATATACAAAAACAAAAGGACTCTTGAAAGACTTCAGACAGCTAAGAAAATGTATAGAACTTTATCTTTGCAATTTTCTAGGTGTATGTCTAACAGCTCTAGTTCTAGTGAAATTTATTCATACAAGGCAATTTTTTAAACTCAAAGGGACAAATCCTTATGAAATTAACTTAACTGCACATCTAATATTCTGTCAACCCTTTGTCTTACTAGAGTCTACCTTTCCCTATATTTTGTGATCAGTTTTTTTTTTTCTACCAAGAAAAGATAAAAGGGGAATTGGAGGAAAGTGGTCAGGAAGAGAAGGATAGTAGAAAGAAAGTTAGGGACCAAATATAGGGATGAGAGGGATAGAGTGAGGAAAAGTAATCTATACTAGGTTTTATATTATATGTACCTTGTAAGTTAAAACATTGATTTTAGAAGAATTAAAAAAAATCTCAAACTAGTAAAAGGGAGATAAAAGAGGATACAAGAAGATAGTGAATAGGGGAGATGGCAGGGAATAACAAAGGCAAATTTGGTTTTCTTCTCATTTTGCTTTTGAATGTAGCAGAACTTCTAGAAATTTGTAATATTAACCAAGTTCTTTGGTACCAAAGCCACAAGTGAATTGTTGTGTTTCTTGAATGGGCAGGATTCTGTCAGAACTTTAGCTCTTCCCTGTCTTGGTGGGGTTTGCCTTTTTGTCTCTCATTCTACTCCTTTGAAGTACCCCAGATCTATTAAACACACACTAGTAAGTTTCTCCTATTGGAAAAGTTTCAGATCTCTATAAAATTGCAATTCAGCAAGAAAGCTTCTGCCTTATAAGGCATGATTCTTTGTATTAGAGAATTAGTCATGGTTTGTTCCCTAGTCCAACCATATTTATCATTCTTCGTTGTGATAGAACATAAGCTCCATAAGGACAGGGCCTCATCTGTCACCTTTGATGCTGTGTTCTCTGTAGTGCTTACACTACAGTAGCTGACCCATGGCAAATGATCCATAAATATTTGGTGCTGTTGTTTGGTCTCAGATTACGAGCAATTAAAATTAATGTGTTTTCCTACACTTTACAAATTTAGGAAGGATTATCCCTTTGGCTTCCTGGATGCCAAAGACTGACAGATTGCCCCTTACCTTATGTATTATTTAGGTTTTCTTCTAACATTTCATTTTCCACCTATTTCTTTAAACGAACACAAAATATCAATGGTACCTTAACTATGAGTTATGCATGTCCATCGAATTGACTAATTATTATCTTGGACGCATTCATTAAATTTTCTGTCCATTTCTGTGACGTTTTAAACATTATTTTGAGAGATTTCTTTCGCGAAGCCAGAGAGATTCCTGGAGTATTTTGCTCTATTTTTGTACCTCTATTTTTGGGATTATTGTACTTTCTTTCCTAGGTGTGAGTTTAGCTATTTTTTTTTCTTTCCTCCTTTCCTTTTTCTCTTTTTAAAAGATCGAGTGCTTACACTTCAGCTATTCCTTGGGCTATATTTTAGGTTGAGGCACAAGCATCTCCCCATTTTACTACTGTCAAAAAGACTAATGTTGAAAATAGCCTTAGTTGGAAAATGTGAGGGGCGGCCATGGTAGATGAAGTGGTAGATTTTCCAGGATGAGTCAGCCTGAAGTAAATGAATGACAAAGCAGTATTAACAAGAGAATATAGAGACTTTCTTAGCTTTCGCTGTCTGGAGATGCAATCTTAGAGTTTATTTGTTTGGACTCTTTAGTTTTTGTCCTCCTGGTTGATGTTATGTAGGAATGGCAACAGCAAACTTCAGCTATTATATAGAGCCCAGATTAATATGTTAATTTGAGATGTTATAAATCAAGAGATTTCCTTTGGGCTTTGATTGTATGGAATAATCTCTTGATTATTATAAATCAAGAGATTTCCTTTGGGCTTTGATTGTATGGAATAAAATAAAATAAAGTTTGATAATCCAGACTCTAATTCCTTTCTCTTTTTCTACCTTTAATACTTACAATAGCATTATAAGACACATTTCCTTTCCAGAGGCTTCTGAAGTCCTTCAATATAAGTTATAGCTGATATTGTTGAGTTGAACCTTATGTAGACTAAGGCACATTTAAATATTGTTGTAAAGTATATAAAATTAAAATACCGTACTTTAGATACACATCTATGTTCAAACATGTCATGTACCCTGATCTTCCTCCTGTTTCTTGATCATGGCATGCTATTCTCGCCTTCTGACCTTTTCACAAAGTTTATATAACTTGGCATTTAGAATATCTAGCTACTTTCTATTTTACTTATTTAATTACTAATAATTCTTCAAAGTTAAACTGAAGTTTAGCCTCCTTCATGACACTTTATCCTATAAATTATAGTCAATATGTACACTCTTCTTCTTAGCTTTTATCTGTGTAATACAATTTAGCATCTGATTGATTATATATTCATTGAGGATCCATGTAGTGCAGGTTAGAGTTTGGCTTTGTAGTCAGCCAAATCTTGTGAGATTATTGGTACTGCTTTGGGCACTGCAATTTGTTCTTTTAAAATGTTAGGAAAATAATAACTTAACTTACAGCCTATTTTGACAAAACAATGCATAAAGTACATATATGCCTTAAGTACTTTAAAATATCTAAAGGAATCAGTATATAAAGGGCTTAGCACAGTATCTGGCGTGTTGTTAGTTTAAATGGTAGCTGTTATACTATTTTTATATTATTCTCATAAGTCATCTTTCTAAATGGTTTATAGATTTCACAAGGGTATGTTGTCCATTTTGTATATTTTTATACTGTACATAGAGTCCAGTATTGTTCTGAATAGGTAGGATGGAATGTTTCTGGATATACGTAATTGAGGGTTGGTGGTCTGTGTCACACAC